CAAATCGTTACGATTTGCATGTGTTGTCTACATCAATATTCTGGCAGATTTTAATCAAATCTCGTTTGAAAATAACAACAAAAGAACCACATAAGGATGTCTGTTACGCTCGTCAATGCAGAAAATGTCAATAGACAAACTATTGTCAAAAATCTCGCCGTCATAGTTCAATATAGGAATGCAAAACTTCATATTTATATGTGTTAAAACGTAACATTTTGATGTTACAAATGCCTGTTGAGCCAGATTCCCGGGAAAACGAGCTTTCGGAACAATAAGTAAGGAGATGTTCCGAAAGACTAGTAGTTAAAATAACAGAAATCAAACAATTACCGGATTTTCCGCCGACTCATTTCATGAATATTTTAAAACCCCTACATTTATTTTCGTAGAAGATAGATAAAGACGATTTTGAAAAGCAAAATGACTCGCCTTTCCATTTTTTGGTTTTAATTAATGCTAGAAAGTCTAAGTTACCTTTAATTTCATCTTTTAAGTCTATTTTGATAAGTTAATTTTAGTTCAATGTATAATTACCCTCTCAGAATTTGTTGATCTTGATCATTTTAGAATTACTTATTACTTAATAATTTTATAATTACTTACCAATGCAGTAAAACATATCTTAATGGACACATGGTTATAAGGACATGTCTATAATTAGGACAGTTCGGGAAACGAGATGAATTGATGATACTATTATTTGAATATTTTATAATTCCAAATCAATCGGGATAGAGTACAAGATGACTAGATCATAATAGTATCTAATTTTTTCATAATTCCGGATCACCTGGGTAGGATTCCGGATCAATGGGATAGGATTCGGGGTCAATGGCATAGGATTCCGGATCACTGGGTTAGGATCCAGGAACAATGGGATAGGGTACTAGATGACTTGATTATATTTATATTTAACTATTTTATAATTTCGGATCAAGTAGATAGGATTCTGGATCAACGGAAAAGGGTTCTGGATCAATGGGATAGGATTATGGATGAATCAGATTGGATTCCGGATCAATGGAATAGGATTCCAAATCACTGGAGTAGGATCGAAGATCACTGGGGTAGGAGTCCTGATCAATGGAATAGGATTTTGGATCAACGGGATAGTATTCCGGATCAATGGGATAGGATTCTGGATCATCGGGATAGGATTCTGGATCAATAAAAAAGGATTCCGGATCAATGGGATTAAATTATGGATCACTGGGGTAGGATCCTGGATTGATGGGATAGGGTAATAAATCATTAGATCGTATTTTTATCTAACTATTTCATAATTCCGGATCAACGGGAAAGGATTCTGGATCAATGGAATAGGATTCCGGATCATTGTGATAAAATTCCGGATCAATTGGATAGGATTCCTGATCAAACGAATAGGATTCTGGATCACTGGGGTAGGACCCTGCCCCAGTGATCCGGAATTATAAAATAGATAGATAATAGTATAATCTAGTCATCTAGTACCCAACCCATCGATCCGGGATCCTATCCCAGTGAGTCGGAATTATAAAATAGTTAGACAATAGTATTATCCATTCATAAAGCTTCCTATCCCATTGATCCAGGATCCTACTCCAGTGATCCGGAATTAAAAAGTAGTCTGATAATAATATAATCTAGTTATCTAGTACCCTATCCCATTGATCCGGGACCCTAGCTAACCCAGTGATCCGGAATTATAAAATAGTATGATAACAGTATAATCTAGTCATCTGGTACCCTACCCTATTGATCCAGAATACTAGCCCAACATACGATCAAACATGAAGCAATTGTTTGTTTTATAAGAAAAGGATGCTCCCGATTTGAAAAAAAAGTTCAAGACAAACAATCTAAATATAGAGCATACATATAAGGCACGAGTAGAACAAATGAAGTATAATTACAACATTTGATGGAATAGATACTTGCTGAATTATTTCAGAAATAACTTGATTTTTAAATTAAAAGGAAAACAGTTTAAACTTTAATGGTTTTTCAACCTAACAAGCCTGATGCATTTGAGATAACCAAGAAACAATACACAAAACAAAACATAACATGCAGTATAGGATCTGAAACATAACCTTGAAGTTTGAAAATCTGATAACATGCCTGATCCTGATTTTTGCTGGGCAATTTTTTATAAATTTTTTTGTTGGCTGAATAAAGGATCTCTTTCTGACAAAGCTGTGGACTTTCTGTAAAAATATTGTAAAGAAACTATTTTAGTAAAATTTGTATAAGTGTCATAGTCTATAGTTACTTAGCTGTCAATCTTGTTTAGGACACTATAATGCCTTAACCAATCTAAGAAAATAATATATCATATATAACATAGACTTTATTTTTACTTTACATAGAGATTAACTATTCAAACAAGATAAAAAAAAATGTACATTGTATCATTAATCTTTTTTAATGTCATATATCCTGGTACATTAGTGGTTGATTGGTGCGAGAGGTACCCGGATACCCAGTGAAAACACAAACGGCCAGATATCTAGTGACTGATCAAATTACCTTTCTCAATCCCAGGTCTTGTTTTTGAGAGGAGAAACGAGTACACCATTACTGCACTACCTGACCCCCGGAACCACTTTTAATTATCTATAGTTTAACATGAATCTGTACTCTTTATCAGGATATACCACACCTTGTCAATTAACCATCATTTCTGGTGTCATTTGTTTGATCATTATTTCTTTGTGGATTTAAGAATTATGATGGTTGTACAAATTAAAGTAATATTACATGTATATATATAAAGACTGGCATTCATGAATATACTGTCATAAATTATTTTATGATAACCATCCATTGATGATTTATAACACTATTGGCCCTTAAGTATATATCAGCAAAAAATAAAACACATAAAACCTACATTTCCTTTTGTTGATTTTCTTTCTGTCTCTTTTCTTTTCTACCTTTTTCTTTGTCCTTTCCTTGATGGCATGCAAGGATTTTTTCTCCCCACATCAACAAATGGAACTCCATTATATTTAATGTGGGTAAGAATGTCATCTTGCGAATCTTCATATTGGATCTGAGATTTGGAATCTATATTGAAAAACATAAAAAATAAAAATCATGAAAAATAACTTTGATACATCTTCAAATCTCCTAATTTACATTTCTATTTTTATTTTATTTTTAAATGGGATATTTTGAACTTTAAAAATAATATTTCAAATCATGATAGACCATGTAAAAAAGATTTACAGTATTGCAGTATCCTTCAGTTGTTTCAATCAATTTGAAGGTATCTTCCTTTGAAAAGTATATTACATATTGCTTATAAAATTTAAATTTAATTTATTCATATTATATCATAGAAGTCCCATTCAAATGTAAACTTGAAATGAGTCATATCATTAGTACATGTATGTAGCTTTAGCTATACTTATCACTACAAGTCTGACATTTTAGATTCTTAATATGTAAACAAAATAGTACCTTGAGTGTGTAAGTGTAATATAAACATCAATGATGCAGGATTGGGGTGGAAGGGAGGGGAGCAGCACATGACATGTATTAGTTTATCCCCCAGGGCCTATTTCAAGGACAAAGCATATTTATATAAAAATAAATATTTATGTCTGCAGTATCATGAATATGTTTTTAAATTACTTAAGGCTAAGTTGTTAAGACAATAAACTGTATTGATACACTTATGACTAAGGTGCTACAGAACGTGACATACTGGTCACAGCATGTGGTGCTTCCTCTCTGTCTGGCTGATCAATACAATACTAACCTAGCACACTGATCAGCTGTGGACCAGGATACCAGCATATGTGTGCCCAATTTGATCAGCCTATAGTGCATTGATCCCCAAATTACAAAATGTAAAGACAAAATATTCAAACAATTATTCAAAGTTTCAGACATCTGATCAAAATCAATAACAAATGTTAAAACTTTAAAATGGGTTAATTTATAAAAAATGTATCCTGCATATGATGTACACTATACATGTGATATACTACAAGCTGTGAATGACCAAATACAACATAGATGTTCAGAACGAAATTAAATTTCCTATTATTGTGATTTGGTTTTAAAATAAATTATATGTAAATCAAATGAGCACACACCATTTCAAACACAACATATTTAACATACATGAATTTGATTTTGGCATGTACTGTTTACCGAAATGAATAATTATAAACAAAATAGATTAATTAAGGATTCACAAATAGCTATACAGTAGATCTAAGCACATACTAATTTTACTACATTAACAGATTAAGTAAGATGGCAGCTGCTTACATACGAGTCTGTGTAAACTATTGGAGTTCGTTTCATATGTACATTTACACAGATCTATATAAACATAATGGTAAATAAAAACAAACCAAAAACACCCGTCCTATGAAAATTCCTACATTTTTTGAGCATTAATTTTTAACATTGATCAGTTTATAGTTTATCGGTAGATCTCAACCTGATCATGGTGACTCTTACAGATACAGATCATGATGGGCGAAGCTTACTTTAGTGTAAGCCTACTGATAATAAATATTATAAAATAATGTAGATTTACTTACTTATCGGTTAATTTTCTTCGTCGCCTAATTCCTTTTCCTTCTTCAGAGCAACAAACATGAAATTGTTATTTAATTCAAACTCTCTGATTGCATTATTCAGCTGAATCAGAGACTTGAACATGGTCACGGAACTGCCAAACCTATTGCTACGTATGTCTTCCTCCGACTCAAAATTTAACGCGTCAACTTCGCATATACAGAAGAGTTCCAATAACTTTCGCGGGAATCTGGCTTAACGGGATAGGTTCTAGCCCCCACCCGTGAATAATGGTAAAATAATATGCCCAGTGCTGCACATCAGAGAAATTTCCAATCAAGAGTGGTTTTTTTCTTAATTGGGTAAACCCAAGTCGGGAGTTTTGCACCATTTGTTTTTTTTTTACATCCCGAGAGTAGAATTTCCCTATCTTACAACCCTTGGCATAAAAAGGTATTTTTCTCTCTTTCCGACAACCACAATTGGTCTTGAAGTCACATAAAGCACCCCAATTTCCGTATCACTGATCGGAATGTTTCCGGTTTCGTGACGTCAAATCGTTTTTTGTTCCATTAAGCATTTCACTTTCCCTAGACATTTCTGTCATTTACGCACAGGAATCAGAGCATTATCACAGACAAATCTTACACGACCTTCTGATGAAGATATACTCACGTTTACTACACGTGTCACACACACACACACACACACACACACCCAGCCTGGCAGACATCCGGATGCAGAGCAGTTTCCTGTCACATGACTACATGCAGCATCCTTACAACGACATTGTTTCGTACAGTAAGCACCAAAATGTCCTGATTTGCATTCTGATTAAATAAATGTCGATGTGTTACATGTGTATCTTATTAACAATGTTTCGTCTTAAAACCAATAAGATATTTGCTATCGTCAATAAACAAGACTACTTTTCAATTAGAAATGTTTTATCTTAAGAAAAAGATGTCATTATTGAATGAAGGTCTCAATGGTAACTATTTAAACATATATTAATCAATTGATCGGGAAGTCTCAGTGCAAATGTTTTGGTTATTAGTAAATCTGTCACAACAGCCCGCAATTCTCATTCACGTAGTACCTATTAAGATATGTTTGTAAAATATATCATGACCCACTTAGAGGTCTGAATGTTACTTGTTTATTATATTAAAGTTTTGCTGGTGTTGTATATTGATTCTATGGTAATTCTTACTTGTACTGCACGAGTTACCAACGTATCCATCACTACAACCATCTGATGACAAACAGGTTCCATTGAAGCGGCTACATCCGGGCGTGTTACAATGACACGTGAGGAGACAGTCTTCTCCAAACATGTTTGTGGGACATTCTGTAGGTAAGCATTTTATAACTATTAATTGTGTGCACGCTGTAAACAAAATGACAAATAGCGAAAAGATATGAATAAATATATATTAAGGACGACATGCAATGTTAATCTGGTGAAGTTTATAACAATACGTAAAAGTAATTATTTGATAAATCAGTACTTACGTGTTGAGCATGACGTTCCAATCCACCCAGATATACATCCAGGTATTGCACATGTCCCATCGGCGTGGTTACAATCAACTGTTTTGCATCTACATTGTGATGTGCACTTATTTCCAAAATAGGGAGCAACACATGCTATAGAAAAATTAAAAAAAAGTAAATAGCATTTAAAATTTTAATAACTGCGATTTTATTCAGTTGAACTCATGAAATTCAGAACATCAGAACCCAGTATTTACATTGGCTCCGGTCTCATTTAGTTATACAAAATAAATTCAGAGTTTCTGTTAAATGGACCTTATTTACCTTGGCTACAGGAATAACCATTCCAGCCATCTAAACAGCCTGCACTTGTGTCTGTACAAGTTCCATCTGCCTTATCACATCCGGGTACGGCGCAGTGACATCGATTGTTACATTCCTTACCGAACATTCCCTCGGCACAAGCTATACAGAAAAGTTATTATCAGTTAAGGATACTCATAACTTTCAGATATCGTTTATATCAACTAGTGATGTATCTTAATTAAATGCAGATCTGGGTCAGTATTCATGAAACAAATTTCATGCTCAAGTATGAATTCTGTGCTCAAGCCAACTGTCTTGTTTCTCGGTTAAATCATGCAACATTGCCAATAAGTCAATATAAACTTAAAAATTGTTTCCGGATTTAAGTTTCTGTAAAATTCTTCCATGACAAACTTTGACAAAATGATTTATCAGGGGACAAGAAATTTGGTTTTAACACATAATTTGAGCTTGAGCGGGAACACGGTTTCGTGAATAGTCGTTTTTATTAACAAACAAAAATGCGTGTGTAAACTTGTGTGTCTACATTTTGTACAACTTGTAAATAGAAACAGGCAGCTATTACTTTGCTCTTTAGGACAATTCATTTACACGTGTATGTCACGTATCAAAAGAAAGCATTTCATTTAAATGTGTCCTAAACATGTTATTTGTACAAAAAAACAAGGAAATATTTTAATGAGAAAACTGCAAAGCTCTGGGAACAGCGAAGCATTTGCCCATCTGCTTTATTTTTAGAATATAACATCATAAGCGGGAAGCACTAACAATATGCATTTTTTGCAATCCAAATATTTTGTTTAATGCCTTTTAAAATATAGATTTTCAAAGTATCTACAGCACAGTAATCGAAATCTGCAATCATTTGGGACAATTTGTTCCGCAAATACTTGTAGCAACATGTCATGACTAAATAATTAATAATTCAAAAAATACAGTTCCTCTCTTTTAAAAAGCGCCTGTTTTTATTAAACCTATTTAACCTATTTTATGCAGACTAAACAAAGATGAACTCCCCGCATTTATATTTTTAGCCTATCGTACACCCACATCAAAAAACTGGTCCAGACGCAGCAGTAAGGACATGACGATGGCGCAGCATATTCCTCTTGGTTTTCCGATTTATCTTTGTTTCCGATTGAAATATTACCACGCTATTTATGACGTAAGGCAATTGATTAACGATGTTTCCTGCATGGCAATTTTACATTTATGATAACAAAACAAACTCAAAGTGTGTTCTCTTATTTAAAACTGAAAAGATCTGATGATAATATGTTAGTGTCACTCTAGTAAGGGGGTATTTAATTCAAACGTTTCCTGGACGTCTCAGTGGAATATAAAACAAATAGATATTTTAACTGCTTTTATTTATTTAAGTTCTAGACCTGTCTCCCCGCCCCTCTGTCATGGTACGTGTTATACTAGTTTTGTGTAAGCTTACTTTAATTAGATATTTATTAAATAATGAATATTTTAACAGGACGTTTGTTTAAGCAAATAAAAACGTTTGCCATATTGAATTCCTTAACTTACGTATATTACATGACTCCCCCTTCCAGCCGGCAACACACCCGGATACGTTACAATGACCTGTTACCGAGTCACAACCGGGAGTATCACAGTTCGTTCGGATGAGCAGTTCTCGCCAAACGTTGTGATCGAACAAACTGAAAGTAATGAAATATATTAATTTCTACTGACTTATAAAAATAAGAACCCTCATTTACCTAGTATGTATGAGTTACTGTAAAATAATTGCAGAGGTGGTTCACCTGAATAATTATACAGTAAAACCCTTTCATAAAAAGCACCTGGGGGTCTTAGAGAAGGTGGAGTTAATAGCACGCTGGTCTTTATTGTGAGGTAGACAAGAACCGTAACTCTATGTAACTATTACACCCTACATATCATGTAACATCGTAATTGTAATGCACTCGTACATAATTCAGGAATTCATCGGAATATGGAAACATTTGATATATTACTCTACAGTACTGACTTGACCTTTATTTTGTTGTCGGTTTTTAAGCAACAAATAAAATATACTATTGTTCTGTACATATGTATTGATAACAAACACATGGTGAAGTTTCAAGTTCACATGGTCTTTAATATGCAGTGCATTCAGGATTTAGATCTATTTTTAATCGATAAATTTCATGAAAGATCAAACATTATGATGAAATTAATTGTAAATGATAATTGTCTTTGAATTGTATTTTCTGTGGGCAAAGGGACAAATAATTTATGATAACGATACCAAATGCCGTGACTAACCTTGATTACAACTTGTCCCATGGTAACCAGCCTGGCATCCTGGTGTGTTACATTGTCCGGCCACTCCGTTACATCCGGGCGTCTTACAATGGCATTCCTCAACACAGTTTTCTCCGAATGTAACTGATGAACAAGCTGAAATGGAGATACTTATATACATAATGTTGCTGGACTGCTACCATAATTAGAGATATTTATCTAACCGATTTAAATTATATACATACTTTTATTGTGATATGTGTGCCTGTAAAGGTTTTCTGAGTGCAGAAACGTTCACAAATTTGATTGTTCGATCTATGTCCGGCTTATTATGCATGATATAAATTTCATGTAGTATTTCTAAAACATATGAGAATGACGATTCATAACTATGATTTCCTAGTGCATAATAAAAATATCAGGGTTATTATGATTGTCCCTAGGAATCAATGAAATTCGATGCTTTAACTTTTTCTTACTATGAACCATCAAGTATGTACTTAACTTAAACTTTATATATATAGATTTTTTTTCTAACAATCTACAATTGAGTTTTATAGAATTTTCAAAAGTTTGTGTTTTGTTCCACCCCCACCCCCCAAATGCTACATACCTTGGTCACAATACTGTGGTCCAGTCCAGCCTGCATTACATTGTGTAGAATCACAAACTCCATTGTCAGGGTCACAGCCGTGTTTACAGTTGGTACAATTGAATTGACACTGGTCACCATATGTATGTGTAAAACAACCTGGCAAGTTAATTGTCAAAACTTGTTTTATATTATTCACAAACGTTATGTTAAAATATAGGCACAATTATTTTACAACTTATACTATATATATATTAATAAAAATATCAGTACTTTGAAATAATAGAAGGCTTATATTTGCGTTGCTTAGTATGCCAACTTAATGAAACAGCAGTTGATAATACAATACAAATATGAACTGCCGTACCATATACTTAACAGAACGCATTCTAAGCATGATGAATTTGATCCTAGAACGTATATACCTACATTGAATTTATCGGCGGTTTCATATTCTGCATAGAAATCATCTCTGGCGTTAAGTAACTCATCAAATTATAAATTACCATACACATCCACCTCACACACGTCCATATACGCTTCTTTTGGTGGTGTCCTTGTGATGATTATCATGACTCTCTGACCGGTTCTGTTACACGATGTGATGTTTTGAGTTAAGTTCGGGTAGCCGGCGTCCACATCCTCGTAACATTTGATACCAGACGGTATACCTGTATCGTTTGATATCCACAAGGCAAAGCCATCGGCACGATCTGTCGGCGAGAAAGATAAAGTAAAAAATGCGTAGGAACCAAGACGAACAGTCAACTGGAGTAAATTATGTACCATTGCAATAACGATTGTACTTTATTTACTATGTACACCGAAATGTAATTGAATTGTTACATTCACAACTGACAAACAGCATCTTTATTAAAATGAGATGCGATCTATATGAATGCTAATTTTGTAGTATTATACTTATGTGTGGTGTACGATGATTACAGAAGCACAGGAAGGTAATATAAATGCATTTAACTTCGAATATCATGAATGTGTTTGTGGTTAGGCTTTGTATAATAGGCTTTGTATAATGAAAGTCTTGCAAACAGACATAATTTTCATTATCTACGTAAGATGCTGGAACATCGACTCATATAATGATTCAGTAAGCTAGAAAGGATGATGTCTTTACTAGCATCGATTGCTGGGATACTAACATCGCTTTCTATTATAATAACGCCAGATATCATATTGATATATTATTCAAACTCATTAAAATACTCTCCATAGTATAGAAGTATCGGACAAGATCAAATTACTGCTCTAAAAATAGTAACGGTATAAGAACGACTCACCTGGAATTCTAAATACAATGTCGATTTTCTGTATTCTTGCCTTCCTAGGCAGGGTGCCTTGCCACCATGCTGCGCTGTTTACTGCAATGGCGGCCATACAACTACCTGTATCGAAAGGGCCGTAATATCCGTCTGTGATCTTGGCTACCGGATAGTTGACATTCCAAGGCGTTGCATTAAGTGTCAGGTTTTTCTTCAGGTTGACTAAAAGCACGAAAATGATTTGTTTTATCAATGCCTTATAAGATAAAACATGTAGCTGAATGTAATGTATCATTTCACTACATGAATTTACTTTTTACAAAAGCTTAGTAAATGTACATTGCATCTATCAAAATGATGATTCCTGTTATAATAATATATATAATTGTTACATTAAAAATACAAAACCGTTTTCCGTAGTCTGTACGTGCCATTTAGCTCAATAGTGACATCTAAACCGCTTTACAGTAATGAGATATGGGACCTTTTAGATTAATGTACTCTCTCACCATGCATCTCTTTCTAGTAACATGATACCAAGGGGAAAAATTCGTCTTCACGGTGGTTATATAGAAACATAGACATTAGTCAATCATAAAAATGTAATAAAAGTGTATTAAAACTTCGTAACGAGAATACAAATGATTTTCAGGATATTTTAATTTTGTCTTTGCCAAAAGCACAGTCTTTTTTAACTCATCATGATCTTAGCCAACACGGATGTCCTTATTTCAGGTAAAATATGTTACTTTCGTATACAATCATTAACAGTTATAAAAGGTGTATCGCTACAGTCATGTTAAACTTTCCGACTTGATCTGTTTACTTCACACACCTATCGATGTTTCTACAGACACATGTGTTCCCGCTATCAAACCACATTGAATAACTGCTATCTACATCATATTTCAAAAGTAAACCTAAACAAAGTGCCACCTTATTTTAATTGACAAATGGTTTACAATAAACACCATAAAGAAATAAACAACTGTGAACTTACTACTCATTCGAATCCCTGGAACTATACACATCAAAATTACACCCGAACACTATTGACACAGCTCCTGCACACCTGTCCATTTCTAACGATTATATGTCATTGGTAGTGGTCCGAATGTTAAACCTAACACGTATCCACGTTAGAATGATCATACCAATTAGTTGTACACTAACGCTACAACTATGCTCGTAGACCAGGAAGTAACGTATGTGCGTGATAAGTAACAGGAAGGGTAGTTTATGAGTATTATTACAGTAGCTAGACATATGCTTAAGTTTTCGTTTGATTTTAATTTTAGCCTCATCGTTGAACATTATCAGAAACAACTAATCTTTTAAAGTAATTTTAGTGTACACAGAAATACCGTCAGTCCTTCTGATACGAATAAAGCTAGTATGTCAGGCACGGTGTTGAGTGCAAAACAAATTAGACATTACCATTCATCGACTAAGGATTTCATATCAGCCATGCGATTATCAATGTAAAGAGACGAACCTTCAGTGGCCTTACCAATGATTAAACTCCAGTATTTCAATAGCTATTTTAAGCAGTTTTGATTAGTTCCAGTATTGTGTCAATATGTATAAAATTACGCAGTTAGTTTTTAACAATACCAGAACTCGGTGTCTTCCTCCATTCTTAGCTTAAAGACTATAGATGTTTAGATGTACTTTATCGATGAAGTTGTAATACAATACTGTCAATGTCTCAATAGTTAATCTGCCTTTTACCTTGAATCGACACCCTTAACATTTGATATCAATTTCTATATTTAAGATAAACAGGCGTGTAACATAAGGTTACCTAGCTCACACATACAGGTACGGTGTCATGACCGATCTGGTTTTAAATTGTCCATTGTGTTTAATAGGTCGCCCGGTTTGGGCAGTCAGGCAAGTATTCGTAATAATAAGCGTTTATCATATGGCAGTCCGGACTGTTTAAACTCCTTTCCGTCATTTGCAAAAGTACCGTTGAAAGACCACCCTATTTCATTAGTAACCATAGACATGTGCCTAGGGTGGGTGAGTGGCGTAATAGAATTTGATTAACAATTGTTGTAAAATGGATAAATTTAAAATCTTATGTCGACATTTTATATAGGAAAATATTATCTTATTTTAAAACAGTTAAAGTTAACACCAAATTATTTGAATGTTGAATGTTTCATACAGTAAGAAATGTAGCTGTATATTTTTATCTCACCAAACATTAATTTCTTGAATAATTGAATAATGGCTGACAATAAACGCGATAAATAAGTAAACAACTGTAAACTTACTACTCATTCGAATCCATGGAAATATACTCAACAAAACTATCCAAAACAATGTGGACACAGCTTCTACACCCCTGACCATCTTGAGTGATTGAATAGTATTCCGTAGTGCTCCGAAAGCATGATATAAAGCATATAGATACGTCAGAACGACCAAATTATTTGGTCGTTCGCTAACACAACTGCTACAGACGACAACCAGGAAGTAAGTTATAGGTGTACACGTAAATTCCGTCAGCAGTAACGTTAAAAATATAACACACCTTGCTTCATGTGTATTAAACTAGTAAGTTAGGCAAAGTGTGTAGTACAAAACTAAACTAGACGTTTTTATTCCATAAACTTACCCATGATTAAACTCCGGTCTTTCAATAGCTAGTGTTAGGCAGTTATAAATAGTACTAGAAGTGTGTCATGAGTGTACAACGTCATAACGCAGTTAGTTTGTAACAGTTCCAGAACTCAGTGTCTTCCTTCATCCTTAGCAAATAGACTACAGACGTGTAAATATACTATATCGATTAAGTTGTAATACAAAACTGTCAATGTCTCAATAGTTTATCTGACTTATACCTTGATCAGACATCATCAACATTTTTATATCAATTTCAATATATAAGATAAACAGGCGTATAACATGAGGTTACCTAGCTCACACATACACGTACCCACTCATGACTGATGAGGTTTTATATTGTCCATTTTGTTTAATAGGTTGCCCGGTATGGGCAGTCAGGCAAGTATTCGTAATAAGAAGCGATGATTATATGGCAGTCAGGACCATTTAAACTCCTTCCCTCATTCGACCAATTACCATTGAAAGACCAGCCTATTTCAGTAGCAAACGTATACATGTGCCGAGGACGAGTGGCGCAGTAGAATTTGTTTCACAATTATTGGAAAATAGATAAAGCCTAAAGTCTTATGTCGATATTTTATATAGGAAAATGTTATCTTAACTTAAAACAGTGAAGTTAACATCTAATTTCCAAATTATTTGGATGAGAAATAGGCCTTTTATCCCCTCAAAAATAGTTGAATGTTTCATGCAGCGGGAAATGTCAATGTATAGGTTTGTCTCACCAAGCATTTACAAACGGTATTATATTTTTACTTTCATACAAAACCATGTGGTATGTACATTCACTTAGGTCTTAACACGATGTGGTATCTACATGTACTGATGTACGCGTTTTGATGTTTAATGAACACATTGTGATGTCAACTGTACATGTTCTAATTATAATGTCTACTGTCGTCAAAAGTAATGATATCTACTGTACACGTTCGGATATCTACTGTACACGTTCTGATGTTTACTGTCCAAATTATTATGTCACCTGTACAAGTTTTGATATCTTCTGTACACATATCGACGTCTACTATATACTTTCCGATATATACTAAACACGTTCTGGTGTCTTCTGTACACATTTTAATTTTTCCACTGTACATGTTCTGATGTCTACTGTTTAACATGTTCTGGTATTTAATGTACACGTTCTGGTGTCTACTGGTTTACATGTTCTGATGTCTACTGTACACGTTCCGGTGTATACTGTTCACATTCTGATTTCTACTGTCCATGTTCTGGTGTTTACTGTACACATTCTGATATATACTATTCAGATTCCAATATCTACTATTCACATTCCGATATCTACTGTACATGTTCTGATGTCTACTGTACATGTTCTGATGTCTACTGTGCATGTTCTGATGTCTACTGTACATGTTTTGATGTCTACTAATTTGCATGTTCTGATGTCTACTGTACACGTTCTGATGTCTACACCACACGTTCTTGTGTCTACTGTACACGTTCTGGTGTCTACTGTACATGTTCTGGTGTCTACTATTTTACATGTTCTGGTTTCTACTGGACACGTTCAGGTGTCTACTATTTTACATGTTCTGGTTTCTACTGGACATGTTCCGTTATCTACTGTACACATTTTAATATTTCTATTAAAATCTGTTCTGACGTCTACTCTACACATTCTGGTGTTTAATGTATATGTTCTGGTGTCTACTGTTCACGTTCTGATGTCTACTGTACACGTTCGGGTGTATACTGTTCACATTCTAATATATACTATTCAGATTCCAATATCTACTATTCACATTCCGATATCTACTGTACATGTTCTGGTATCTACTGTACATGTTCTGATGTCTACTGTATACATTTCGATATATACTGTACACATTGCGATATATAATGTAAATGTTCTGGTATTTGCTATACACGTTCTGATGTTTACTTTACACATTGTCATTGATGTTTAATGAACACATTGGTATGTCAACTGTACATGTTCTGATATCTTCTATGCACGTTTTAATTTCTACTGTACATATTCTGATGTCTTCTGTACACATTTTGATATATACTATACACATTCTGATATCTACTGTACACGTTCTGATTTTTACTGTCCAAATTGTTTTGTCAACTGTACACATTTTGATGTCTGCTGTGCACATAACAGGTTGACTGTAAGGATGAAAAAAAAATATAATATTAATTCCTATTAAAAGAAAAACTGGATTCACAGACGTTGAATCAAGTGCCATTTGATTCGTTAGGTTGACTGTGAGTGTGCAAATCAACCACGATACGTGTATCAGTTGATATTTTTAGATTACATTCATGACTGAATTGTATGTACCGTTTTACGATATGGATATATATTTTTTAACGACGTAGTAAATGTGCAATGAATCTATCAATTCATTGACGTTTTCTGTTAGATATGTAAATATAAAAGTTAATACGTGGAAAATACATATAATAGATATACGTAGGCAATCTGTGCCATTCAACTCAATAGTGGCCACTATACGTGAATACTGTAAAAAGATATGGGACATTTTAGATCGTTCTTGATCCTTGATACCACGGGAAGATATTCGTGTTTGCAGTGGTTATATAGAAACATAGACATTGGTGTAATACAGTTGTATTCAAACTTCTAGATGGGTAAACACGATGTATTGATTTTGTCTTTACATAGTAAAGCACAGTGTTTTTATGCCGTTATTCAAAGTAAGGTGTGTAACTTTTGTATATAATCCATAATATATTGTATATCACCGGATAAAGTAGGTGTATCGCCACTATCATGTCGAATTTTCCGACTTGGTATATTTACTTCACACACCTATCGTTGTTTCTAGACATGTTTGTTTTCTCAATCAGATCACATTCATTGATTACTATCTACATATCTTTTCAAAAGAAGTTAAAACAAAAGAAAATCCACTTCGTTCTAATCGAATAATGGCTGACAATAAACTCGATAAATAAGCAAACAACTGTAAACTTCTACAACCCTGACCATCTTGATTGATTCAATAGTGTTCGGTAGTGCTCCGAAAGCATGATATAAAGCATATAGATATATCAGAACGACCAAATTATTTGGCCGCACACTAATACAACTGCTATAGACTAAGACCAGGATGTAAGGTTTAGGTGTTCACGTAAATTCCGTCAGCAGTAAAGTTAAAAATATAATATGCATTGTTTTAAACTGGTAATTTAGGCACAGTGTAGAGTACAAAACAAAACTAGACATCTTCTTACAATACTGTCAATGTCCCAATAGTTTATCTGACTTTTACCTTGATCCAACATCATCAACATTTTTATATCAATTTCAATATTTAAGATAAACAGGCGTATAACATGAGATTACCTAGATCACACATACAGGTACGTACTCACTCATGACTGATCAGGTTTTACATTGTCCATTGTGTTTCATAGGTCACCCAGTATGAGCAGTCATGCAAGTATTCGTAATAAGAAGCGATTATTATATGGCTGTCAGGACCATTTAGACTCCTTCCCTCATTCGACCAATTACCATTGAAAGACCATCCCATTTCATTAGCAACCGTATACATATGCCGAGGACGAGTGGCGCAGTAGAATTTGTTTCACAATTATTGTAAAATAGATAAAGCTTAAAGTCTTATGTCGACATTTTATATAGGAATATATTATCTTAACTTAAAACAGTGTTAGTTAACACCAATTTTCCAAATTATTTGGATGAGAAATAGGCCTTTTATCCCCTCAAAAATAGTTGAATGTTTCATGCAGCGGGAAATGTCAATGTATAGGTTTGTCTCACCAAGTATTTATAAACGGTAGTATATTTTTACTTTCATACAAAACAATGTGGTATGTACATTTACTTAGGTCTTTACACGATGTGGTATCTATAGGTACTGATGTCTAATGTACGCGTTTTGATATTTAATAAAAACACGGTGTGATGTCAAGTGTACATGTTCTGATGTCTACTGTTTAACATGTTCTGGTATTTAATGTACACGTTCTGGTGTCTACTGGTTACATGTTCTGATGTCTACTGTACACGTTCTGATGTCTACTGTACACGTTCTGGTGTATACTGTTCACATTCTGATTTCTACTGTCCATGTTCTGGTGTCTACTGTACACATTCTGATATATACTATTCAGATTCCAATATCTACTATTCACATTCCGATATCTACTGTACATGTTCTGATGTCTACTGTACATGTTCTGATGTCTACTGTAGATGTTCTGATGTCTACTGTTTTACATGTTCTGATGTCTACTGTACACGTTCTGATGTCTACTGTACACGTTCTGATGTCTACTGTACACGTTCTGGTGTCTACTGTTTACGTTCTAGTGTCTATTGTACATGTTTTGATGTCTACTGTACACGTTTTGGTGTCTACTATACACGTTCTGATATCTTCTATACACGTTCTAGTGTCTACTGTTTTACATGTTCTGATGTCTACTGTACACGTTCTGGTGTCTACTGTACATGTTCTGATGTCTATTGTACACGTTCTGGTGTCTACTATTTTACATGTTCTGGTTTCTACTGTACATGTTCCGTTGTATTCTGTACACATTTTGATATTTCTATTCACATTCCGATATCTACTTTACACGTTCTGGTGTCTACAGTACATGTTCTTATCGCTACTGTACACGTTCTGGTGTCTACTTTTTTACATGTTCTGACGTCTACTGTACACATTCTAGTATCTACTGTACACGTTCTGATATCTACTATACACGTTCTGATATCTAGTATACACGTTCTGGTGTCTACTGTTTTACATGTTCTGATGTCTACTGTACACGCTCTGGTGTCTACTGTACATGTTCCGATGTCTACTGTACACGTTCTGGTGTCTACTGTACACGTTCTGATGTCTAATGTACATGTTTCGGTGTCTACTGAAAAAAAGAAGTTTTTGCTATATGTTTGACATATCCTTTCGTTTTTAAATCATTTCTGATCACTGATATTATTGTCCTTCATTTATCAGACCCTTTATATATCTGAGACCATCACTTTTGTTAAATAATGAGATTTTAGAAATACAAGATTCGTACACATATCTTGAAATAATATTAAACTACAATGGTGTTTTTACAAAAGCCAAAAGTAAACTAACAGAGCAAGCAAAAAAAGCTGTATATGCGTTGTATATTAGGATTAGAAATATTTCCAATAATAATAATATACAGCATTTATATAGCGCCCTAAATAATTTGTAAAATTACTCTGAGGCGCTTTACAACATATGGATAATAGTAATGGTTATAATTGTGAAAACAAACAACAAGGGCTTGCAATCACTTTCATACATTTAACAAGCAATGTGCACATAATTGAACAAATAAAAGGGTGGTATTTACATGACGTCTTTGCAAAGATTCTAAAATGCAGACGTGAAGTTTTATGTCCCTCTTGAACTTGGCCAGGGTATTCGACTTCCTAATAGCAGATGGTAAGCTATTCCACAACGTAGCCGAAACCCTCCCAAAGCATCTGTTTCCGTAGGTCACAGTACGAGATTTTGGGACACACAACAAAGATTCTGACTCCGACCGCAGTGATCTTGACGGCTGATACAGGGTAACAAGTTCCTGTAGGTACTGAGGAGCTGTTCCATTCAGTGCCTTGTATGTGTATACCAGAATTTTGTACTGCGACCTGTATCGTACAGGTAACCAGTGCAACGAATAAAGCGCAGGTGTGATGTGCTCTCTCTTTCGAGTACGAGTAACTAGCCGTGCTGCAGTGTTCTGAACCCTCTGCAGACGACTAGTTAGTTT